AGCTCGCTGTTTCGCTCCTTGTGGCGAAACATCTCACTGGTGGACCCGGACCACCACCCCCCCGGCAACGCAACGCAACGCAACGCAACGCAACAGATGGCTTGCAACAGAAACCAAAGGAAGCCGTTGGAAAATCCCCTGGAATCCTTCGAAATCGTTAAGAAAGCCGACGCATTCCCACGAGCTGAAACTATGCGCGCTCCCCCTAGCCGAAACCTTCGGGCATGCTATAGAATCCTTAAGGGATGCTATGGAATCCCTAAGGGAAGGCTGCAGAACCCCTAAGTGATGCTATAGAACCCCTAAGGGATGCTATAGAACCCCTAAAGGATGCTATTGAATCCCTAAGGGATGCTATATAATCCCTGAGGGCTGCTATAGAATCCCTAAGGGATGCTATAGAATCCCTAAGGGATGCCATAAAATTCCTGAGGGATGCTATAGAATCCTTAGAAAGGGATGCTATAGAATCCCTAAGGGGATGCTATAGAAACCTTAAGGGGATGCTATAGAATCCTTAAAGGTATGCCATTGAATCCCTAAGGGATGCTATAGAATCCCTGAGGGATGCTATAGAATCCATAAGGGCTGCCACTGGATCCCGAAGGGATGCTATAGCATCCCTAAGGGATGCGATAGAATCCCTAAGGGATGCGATAGAATCCCTAAGGGATGCTATAGAATCCCCATGGGTCCCGGCGTGTTGCCCGGCGTCCCTCAGTGGCCTGCCCCAGAGGGGGGAGGCGCATGCCCAAATGGCTTGAACCACACATGAAGAGAGGGAGAGGAGCGTGCCCACGTCAGCCACAAGGCCACCAGAGCCACGGGAGTCAAATCCGCCGCCGTGCCTCCTGCACGGCAGAGGCGTGTTAGAGGCTGGGCCGGCACGGGAACGAAAAGAGCTCCCTGTGGGCCAGGGCGACGATCCTCAAGAGGGGTGTGCCGAAATGAAGCTTCGGTGGGCCTCCCTGTGGGGTCTGTGCCACGGTCCTCGAGAGGGGTGTGCCGAAATGATGCTTCGGTGGAGTTCCCTGTGGGGTCTGTGCCACGGTCCTCGAGAGGGGTGTGCCGAAATGATGTTTCGGCGGAGCTCCCTGTGGGGCCAGGGCCACGGTCCTCGAGAGGGGTGTGCCGAAATGAAGATTCGGTGGAGCTCCCTGTGGGACCAGGGCGACGATCCTCGAGAGGGGTGTGCCGAAATGAAGTTTCGGTGGAGCTCCCTGTGCGGCCAGGGCCGCGATCCTCGAGAGGGGTGTGCCGAAATGAGGCTTCGGTGGAGATCCCTCTGGGGCCAGGGCCACGATCATGCTTGAGGGGTGTGCCGACATGAAGCTTCGGAGAAACCCTCTGTGAGGGGAGAGCCACGATCCTCGAGAAGGGCGTGCCGAAATGAAGCTTCGGAGGAGCTCCCTCTGAGGCCAGGGCCACGATCCTCGAGAGGGGTGTGCCGAAATGAAGCTTCGGAGGAGCTCCCTGTGAGGCCAGAGGCCCTATGGGATTCCCATAAGATTCCCAAAAAAGATCCCCATAGGATTCGTAAAAGCCCTAGGCTTCCCGCAGGATTCCTATAGGATTCGAAAAAGGCCATGTAATTCCTATAGGACTCCTATAGGATTCCTATAAGATTCGAAGAGGCCCTATAGGATTCCCATCGAATTCCCACAGGACTCCTATAGGATTCGTAGAGGCTCTCTAGAATTCCTGAAAGGTTCTTATGGGATTCCTAGAGGATTCGTGGAGGCCCCATGGGACACTTATACACATCATATAGGATTATTATAAGTATCGTGGAGGCCCTATAGGATTCCGATGTATAGGATATGTAAAGGCCCTCCGGAATTCCAATCATATTTCTGCAGGAGTCCTATAGGGTTCGTAAAAGCCCTATAGGAATCCTATGAGACTCCTATAGGATTCCTACCAGATTCGCAGAGGCTCTATAGCATTCCTATAGGTTAGCTATATGATTCCTATAGTGTTCGTAGAGGCCCTATGGGATTATTATAGGACTCCTATAAGATTCCTATAGTGTTCGTAGAGGCCCTATAAGATTCCTATGGGATTCCTCTAGGAATCGGAGAAGCCCTATAGGTGTCCTACAGGCTTCCTATCGGATTCCTATCGGATTCGTAAAGGGCCTACAGGATACCCATTGGATTCCTATGGGATTCCCATAGGAATCAGGCCCTATAGGATTCCTACAGGATTCCACCTGGATTCCTATAGGATCCGTAAGAGGCCCTCTAGGATTCCCAAATGAATCCGATAGGATCCCTATGGGATTCGTAAGAGGCCCTATAGGACTCCTACAGGCTTCGTAGAGGCCCTATAGGATTCCCGAAGGATTCCTATGGGATCCCCATAGGGATCCGAAAAGCCCTATAGGATTCCCATGGGATTCCTATGGGATTCCAATAGGAATCCTAAAGGCCCTACAGGTTTCCTACAAGCTTCCTATCGGATTCCGATCGGATTCGTAAAAAGGCCCTATAGGATTCCCATTGGATTCCTATGGGATTCCCATCGGACTCGTAAAGGCCCCATATGATTCCTATAAGATTCCCATGGGATTCCCATTGGATTCGTAAAAGGCCCTATAGGATTCCTGTGGGATTTCTTTCGGATTCCTATAAGGTTCGCAGAGACCCTATAGGATTCCCATTGGAATCCTAT